TAGTGGGCAAAATCTCTGAGACTTTTCAAAACCACATCAACACATGTAAAGCTAACTAGTCATTTTCAGCAAAATGAAAAAAACAAATCTATTTTTTACATTGGTTCCTTTGTCCAATCAAACTAAACAATATGGAAGTCAAAACACAAGCATCATTACCCAGAGCTTTCACAGTTTTACTAGTTCAAATCCAAATAGAAAAAAGGAGGAAAGAACAGAACAACGAATAATGAATATGCACAGAACCAGCTGGTGACGTATAAAAACATAAAAGAAATAAAACTGAATGGTAGCTACTGATCGAAATTTATCAAGCTCTTGGATAGCGTAATCTCCCTTTCTTTTTTAGAAACTCTGGAATCTCGAATGTGGTTCCTTCGGCGAGAGAAGAGCTGGTGCGTCTACCGGCGCCGAGGTTGTCAGGACCACCCAGCTGTGCTCCCTACAGATTGCATTGCAAGATAGTATGGGTCAACAATGAAGCAGAGTGGGGGGCTAAGTGGAATAAGAGTGCAGAGGAGTACCTGGGATATGCGGCTATCAATTTCTTCCTGGCGTTTGAAACCTGTTGCAATCAAGGTGATGCTCACCTGAATAGAATGGTGGGTCATCCTTCAGCTCGGTATTTGATATGGTAATTGGTAACAAAGCTTGCATATATTTTTAAAAGCTTATTTGGTTGCTTGTAAATATAAACTTTATAGAAAATAATGATGATATTTCTACTGATTTTGAAAGTAAGGAAAAAAATATCATTTGTGAGAGTTTCGAAAATGTTTGTAGAATATAAAATAGATTTATAGGCATACCACAGAATTCTTATGTGTTTATATATCTAAAATCTAAATATTTTTATTTAGATAACATCCTAATATCAAAATTACATCAAAACATATGCATAAAAATATATGTTTCACTTTAGATAAATTAATAGTAGTGATTGGTATGATGTGATTTAAAGATTATAGTGTTATATAAGTAAATATAAAGATTTAGATATTAGATATGTAAATACC